CATATAGTTCATATATGGTTCACACCTGTAACTATATATGATACAGTTCACAGTGGTTCACACCTGTAACTATATATGATACAGTTCACAGCAGTACTGAACTAAACCCTAGGTCTCTTGACTTTCTGTCCAGTGCTATTTCTATTACCCTATATTATCTTACTTTTGACACAAGTATCTCAAAATCAAAGATCTTCACTGGAAAAAAAAAAAAAAAAGACAAATAAAAAAAATTTCCTGACAACAGTATATAATAATAGAATTTACATGGCATTTCTTATAAACTAGGCATTGTTTTAAAGTGTTTTATGTAGAATTCATTTAATCTTCAAAAAACTCTATGACAAAGCTAATCTTAATATTTTCATTTCTGCAGATGACAAACACTGAGATGCAGAAAAGTTAAGTAACTAGACCAAGGTCACACAGTATGTGGAAAGTATAACATCTTTTATATTGTGTCAGCTCACAGCAAGCATTTATTTAGGGCTTACAATGTTTCAGTTACTTTGCTGAGCAACTATAATGCATTATTTCAGTCCATCTTTACAATTGCCCTTTGAGTTAGGTAGCATTATTACTCCATCTTACAGATGACCAGATTGAAAGCATAGAGAAATTTACTAATTTTCCTGAAGTCATACATTTAGTAAGAGGCAAAGTCAATGCTCAAATTTCTGTCTAACTCCAGAGCCAGGGCTTCCAGCCTCTATGTGATACTGCCCATCAAATAAAACACTCTCAGTGCATCAGGCCTGGCTTCCTTGCTCTTCCAATATTGCCACATTTGCTGTGGCTCCTTTATCCTAAAGCAACAATTAGAATAGGGATTTGAGCAGAATGAGGATAAGAAGTGGAGTTAGCAGCGTAAAGGACATAGTAGCCGCTTCTTAGTTAGATAATTGTGCTCCCCATTGTGAGATATATATACCTACTATATATACTGTGTATATGTGTGTGTGTGTGTGTGTGTATATAAGTTCATTTTCACACTGCTGATAAAGACATACCTGACACTGGGAATAAAAAAGTGTAATTGGACTTACAGTTCCACATGGTTGGGGAGGCCTCAGAATCATGGTGGTGGCAAGAGAAAGATGGGGAAAAAGCAAAAGTGGAAACCCCTGATAAACCTATCAGATCTCATGAGACTTACTCACTATCAGGAGAATAGCATGGGGAAGACCAGCCCCCATGATTCAATTACCTTCCACTGGGTCCCTACCACAACTCGTAGGAATTCTGGGAGATACAATTCAAGTTGAGATTTGGGTGGGGACACAGCCAAACCATATCAATACACATATATACACATATTTTTAGGGTACCTGACATCATCATACATCACAATATTGCTTGCATGTGACCCCTTTCCTTAGCTTTTGTTAAAGAGATGACAAATTTACTTTTAATTAATGTTCTCTGATTAAGTTAACAGTGATAACTAACAGATCAGTAATTTAGATGCTGGAGAAGGTTTATAGAGGTCACAAATTCAAATCCCTACAAAGAGCAAGAAGATAATGTAAATAAAATGACAAAAATGTAACCCCTAGGGAGTGGCAGGGACCTTAGTAAACAGAAGAGTGTATGTCCAAACCAAATAATAGGCCATTTGGGAATATAAGCCCAGTGTGACCAGATCTGACAATCTTTCTAAAGAAAATGGAAATCTAGATTTTTGGTTTTAAAAAAAATCCCAAATTGTGAATATTTGAAAGCAATTCAAAACTTTTTTTTAAAAGCGTCATGCTGGCTGACTGTGCAAGCCAAACAAATAAACCACACACCCTTCACATCTGTAGGCCTTTTGTAGTCTGCTTTATAGTGGGGTTAAATAAAGAACACTCTGATCTGAAATGTTAGAAAAGAAAACTGATAGGAATTTGGGTCCTGATGGAATATTTGTGTTTTGAAAAATGAGCTTCGATAAGAATAATCTGAGTGGAGGTGGGTGATTGAAGAGGTGGAATGGGGTGGGAACTAAAGTAGTGGCCTTTTTGAGAACAGATTCTCTTATTTCTCCTTTGGAGTAGTATTGGTCTCGGGCCTTAGGAAAAAATAGCAGAAATCTAATTAACAGCTCTAAGGGAGCAATCAATTTACAATTGTGTGAAGTGTAAATTCCTTTGTGCAAGAAACAAATTACAGTATTTGCAAATGTGTAAATAATGCAGCACTGTCTGAGCAATCCAAATGCTTTGGGTGTGCCCTTGAGAAAGAAAAAGAAGCTTGAAGAGACAAAATGTTAGAAAATGACCTATTGTCTCAAGAAATGGAATTTAAAAATTATCTTTAGTAACTGATTTTTCTCAATTAACTCCTTATTTTGAAACTATAAAGGAACTCAGTTCTTTGGTCAATAGAATGAGAATATCTAAAGAAGTAAACAATTTCAAGTCCAAAGTCACAGCATATTATTAAAAGGGTAACTTCAATCAAATGTGCTAAACACAAAAATTTTCCTTCAACCCTTCCTACAGCTCTGGTTTGTGGCAATAACTTTCATTTCATAAAAGAGAGAATGATGCCCAACCCATAATAGTTAATACTTTCAATGTCAGAGAAAGATTGGTGACAGGTAAGAACATGAACCTAATCTCTCTGCTTCAAAGCAGTGGATTTTTCTGAACAATTCAATTCACATTTATTGGGGTGCTTTTATAGAGAGCAAAACTCATTACTTTCTACAATATTTTTTTGAGTACTTCCCTATTGCTTGAGCTAGGAGCCAAGGATACAAAGTAAATGTTACTCTATCCCTGCCTTCAAGGGGTTTGAAGTCTAATGAGAAAACAGGATTTAAACCTATCATTTGCATAGTAAGCTTTTTGGTAAAGAAGAGGTATAGAGGGGCATTATGGATGTTTGGACAAGTGCTTGATTCAGGAAATGTTTCAACAGGAGAAGATATTCACCAGGCCGAAGGAAGAAGGGAACGGGATTAAGGTAGAGGTAAGTGGAATACTGATGGACCTTATGCAGAATGATAGCTTTAAATGATTGCTCTCGCCTGTGTTCTTATTCAAATCTTTCCACAAAATATTTTAGCAAGTTGCACCAGGAGCCTTAAGACATATGTATACCCTTTTACTCAAAAATTCCAGGCCTAGAAATCAGAGATGCTGCCAGAAACTTAAGTATGAGGGAGTTTATTTCGTTATTTACAATCATGAAAAACCTGAAACAACCCACATACTCAACAATAGCACAAGGATTAAGTAAGTTATGGTACATCCAAGCCATGTGATTTTATGGATTTCCTGTTTAAAAAAAAAAAAAAACACACTTTAAAAGAATATTTCAAAACAAGCAAAATGATTATAACAGTTTTGAAATGATGTGCAATGTTTAATGAAGTTATCATCCTAATTTTGTAATAAAAATTAAAACGTAGTTCTCAACATTGGTTGTAATTTTCACTCATATCCTACTTTTCTAAAGTTCTTTCTTGTTTTAAACATACGGGACACAAAAGGGGCGGAGTTTCTCCTTGTTCTATGTGCAATAAAAAGAACTGGCTTTTGTTTCTTTCCCTTTTAAGTGTGATCCTGGGTTTGAAATCACATTCTCTTTATGGTATTCAGGCTGGCTAAGAAAGGAAGGAAGGTTAGGTGAAGAATGGAAGAGAAAGGAGATGTCCAGAAACTGAACATTTCCATGAGAGAGGAGAACAACTATGATGGGAGTGAGGGTGTGAGGACAGACCAGAAAGAGTGGTTGCTGTGTTAAGAATAAGGTACTGGCATTGAGTAGTTGAGGGCAGAACATAAACACATATATAATGGTTCAGTATAAGAAATGTCACAGTGCAATACATGATTAACTGCCAAGTAAATAGCACTACAGACAATATATATTATAATAGTTTGGAGCAATTTGGTGGAGAGATCCATCATATGGTCAGATACATGTATGTGACCATGTATTATTGAAGATATTCATCTACTAAAATCTCCCTTTATCAATCTTTGTTAGAGGGTGTTATTGTATAGGGCTAGATTCTCTTGGCTTTCCTTTCTGGGGGATTTAGTTACTGGGGTATTTAGTTAGAACTTAAAGGAACTCATTTCAAAAGGATTTTAGCTATCAAGTGAAAAAAGAAAAGAAAAGGTTATAAGAAGAATGTGCTAGAAAACAATATGAATTTAAAATACTATTTGAGAAAATTCAATCTGCACAAAAATTCACTTCATCCTTCAATTTCTCCTTTCCTTTAAAATGTACTCACATAAAAATCTGCTCTAAAAGCCAGAACCAGCCAGGAATATAGCCCAAGAAATTTACCACTAAATGGGGACACATATGTGTTTCTTAGAAAAACTGTGCCTTGCTGACTTTCTCCCTGGATTTCTTGGTTCTCTGCATCGAAGGGCATGTGGTAATTCCTTCCTTTTCTGAATTTGCTTGCTTTTACAGTTTCTTCTAACTGAATCTTAAACACCTTCCCCACACCATCGGTCTTTCATTATATATGTCTACACAGCATCAAGCGACCTTTAGCTAACACTGGAGAAATGGATCAACACCTTTACCCAACTACATCACTTAGACCCTTTGGGGGTTTTCTACTCTATTTTAATCTATTTAAACCTGACACTAGCAGATTTCCATTTCCTTTGTTCCTTGTGTAGACTTGGTTTATATGTGTTGGTCTCTAAAAAGGGACAGAGAGGAGACAGCTGTTGAGAAATGAGATTGGCAGTTTTAACCGCACAATTTGGTCTAATACCTTTGATATGCTAAACTTGCTAGCTCCTCCAAGTGTACCTTTCCGATTTTGCATAACACCACCCTGAATCCCTAAGGAAACCAGGGTTTGTTGTTGTTTTTTTTTTAATTAAAAAGAAAAGAAAGAAATGCAAACCAGTGAAACCGTTCTTTTAAATTATCTCCACATAGATTTCATTCTACGAACTGCAGGCCTTCACAAATCCTGGTACGCTAGAGACCTTTAAAAAAGGAGAAGCCGAGAATACTGATTAGGTTCTAAAAATCGAAAACAGGTGATGTCATAATGCATAGTCCTGTGGCCACGGCCATGGCCGGGTGGGGAGCTGGGCTCCAGTGATCACTGCACAGCGCTCCATGCCAGTAGGCGATGCAAGTTATCTCCGGGGCCCGGAGGACACGAGTGAGGACCGGGCACCAATCAGGTTCTCGCTCTGCGCCTGCCTTTGTTCTCACTCGGGAGCAGGTTGCGAGCGTCTAGCATCGGGAACCCGCATTCGACTCCGACGCGCATTGCTAGCCCCTTCGGGAGACCTGGCTCCCCTACCCGTCTGTCCCCCCACACTCGGTCAGCCTGCGCTTTCCCCAATCAAGTCTGCCTTCTCTCCGCAGAACGTGGAAGCTAAAACCCTGACTCACCATTCTAAGCTTTGGAAGAGGCAGGTTTGTCCCAATAGTTTTAAACGGCAATTTGTTCTCTGAACCTTCCTTTCTGAGCAGGGCTCTGTGCTCTGCATGTATTCGAACAGCTGCCTCAGGAAGGTCTTTTGGGTGAGAAAACAAGCCCCTTTGGCCTTTTCGTGCTGGACAAGTAAAGGAACTTACATCTCTAAGATAACCGCGAGAAGGTACTTCAGAAACAGGAGGAAACCGCTAAACCAGAGGTTTTGTGTCTCTCCCCTCAAACTCGATTACTTGCATAAATATATATATAACTCAGACATTTATCCCCTATCTGCCTCTCAAGCCTCAAGTAACTGAAGTCTTTGCAAAACACGGTTCACAATAAATGATGCATAAAGTTCTTTGAGATCCCTGGATACAAAGTCCTTCATAACTGCAGGCTTCTTTACAGCTAAAGTTACATTTTGGTGGAGGGAAAGCCTAACCACTGCCCTGAAGGAAGGAACATTTAATCCTCCCACTCCCCTCCCCCTTTCTCGAGAGATCAGGAAATATTTAGCTCAATCTTAGACTCTCTAGCGAGCTCTAGCTCCCAACTATTTATCTCATTCAGCTCACCACTTTTGCAGGGACCTGGGGGGGCGTGGCTTATCTTGGGGGTGGGGCTTGGATGGCAGTATATTTGCATACGACACACCCTCGTCCTCTTATTGGCAGAGGAGAGCAAACTGTTCCCTGCTACCCTACTACTTAGCTAACCGCCATCTCCCTTCAGTTCCGAGCCTCGGAGACAAACTTAACTTGCCCGGAGATTCAAGGCTTCCTCGGCCCCTGTGATTGGCCGGCGCGACTCCCAACCGGGCTCTCGTTGCTCATTGGCTGCGGGCTAGCGCCTGGGGGGCGTAGCCGGAGCTGTCCGATTGGCGGGAGGGGCGGTACCGGAGCGTCGAGGTGGTGAAGGTGGTGGGGCG